TTTATTTTTATTTATCAAAATACTAAATTTTTAAATTTTGCTTGAGAGTTTGGAGGAAAGGTTAAAGGATTTTTTTCGAAGAAGATGAAAAAAATTAATTAAATTTTTTTTATATAAATAACAAATGAGTCTTTATAATAATTAATATTTTTTTAATATTTAAAAATGATATATATCAATGAGTCTCAAAAAATCATCCTCTAATATAATATTTTAATTCTCCATATTAAAAAAATATATATTTAAAAAAAATTAGAATTAAGGCTCAATTCAAGATGATAACTTAAACACAAAGCTAACATGTTTCGATAGCATGCTTGACCATATTTCGACTATAGCATGTACAACTCATGTAGAACCATGAAACTACCTTTGTCGACACTGGAGTTCGATCACAAATCTCCACCTTAGAACAAACTCTATAACAAGGGATCAAACTAGCTTTCATCGTCCATGGCTTTGAGTCGTTCAGTCTTATCTCGACTCCTCGTAACTTTCTTATAGTCTCTAGGTTCTTCGTCAAAAACCTCACTTGTAGAGATTAAAGAATAAGTTATAAGATCTGCATAACCAAGTCTCTGAGGTGGCTTGATGACTCTTCTCGACCCGTCTCTTGCTAGCAGGTAGTCAATATCAATCTCCTTATCTTTATCAGCAACTTGAGATTCTTCTTTGACTTTATACAGGTTATGCAATTCGGCATCACTATGCTCTACCTCAACATAAATCTCTTCCTATTCCAGCTCTTCTTCAAACATCTTCGAACTTCGACCAATGTCATCAGTTTTCTTGAAAGCAATCTTAACTTCATTGAAAACTACATCTCGACATATGACACACCTCCTGTCACCTGGCTCTAGGTACCACAACCTATAAGCTTTGACTCTTTCTAGGTATCCAAGGAACATACATCTCAGAGCTTTAGGTTCGATCTTGTCTTGCCTAATATGAGTGTAGGCTAAACAACAAAATACTCTAAGTCTATCAAGATTAGGTAGATGTTTCGACCAGACTTCTTTAGGTGTCTTCATTCCCAAGATAGTCGAAGGACACCTATTTATCAAGTATGATGCAATCATGACTACCTCAGCCCAAAAAACATTCTTCAATCCTACACTAACTAACATACACCTTACTCTTTCCAGAATGGTTCGATTAAACCTTTTAGCCAAACCATTTTGTTTGGGAGTCCCTATAGTAGTTATGTGCCTTACAATACCATACGCAACACAATAGTTGTTAAAAGCTTAATTGTAAAACTCAAGACCATTGTCGGTCCTCAATCTCTTGACCTTCCTGCCAGTTTGGTTTTCAACTAGAGTCTTCCAACTTTTGAAATTGTCAAAAATTTCATCCTTAGTCTTCTGGATGAATACCTATAATATTTTGGAGTAATCATCAACTATGGATAGGAAATACTTGCACTTGAATATGAAGGACTCCTTGTAGGTTCTCAAAGATCAGCATGAATGTAATAAAGGGATCCATGTATTCTTTGTTTACCTTTGTTAAAATTCATTCTATGGGATTTACCAAATACACAAGGTTCACAAAACTCCATTTTTTCGACCTTGTCACCACCTAATAGATTTTTTTCCGACAATTCGACCATGCCTTTTTCATTGACATGGACAAATCAATGTTTCCATAGCTTAGTCTTCGACACATATTTCGTTGATGCCATATCTGCTGAACCACTTGCAACCTCAGCTCAAGGGTAAACAAGCCTTGTTTTTCACGTCTCTCAAGATTTTCTTTGACCCCTTCATTACCCTTAAGATGCTTTGCTCTCCTTTGAAAACACATTATTTCTTGTCGAATTCACCAAGAGAAATAAAATTCCTCTTAAGACCAGATACATACCTAACATCAGTCAATAACCTTATTGACTCATCATGGAGCTTGAATCTCACAGATCCAATACCTGCAATTTTACAAGCTTTATTGTTTCCCAACAACACTGATCTATCATCTTGATCACACAATTTCTCAAATACATATTTGTTTGGAGTCATGTGCCAAGTACACCCAGAATCCATAATCCACTCATTGTTAGAGTCGCTGGTTAAAACCACCAGGACATTAGATAATTCATAACCATCTTGCACAATGGTTGCATTACCATTATCCTTTTCACCATGATTGTTCAGTCGATCAAGACATACCTTTCTTGTATGACCCTCCTTCTTACAATGATAACACTTAATAGTAGGAACATTACCACCATAAGAATTATGTAGAACTTTTCCCTTCTTCTTTTTAAACCTACTATCTTTCTTTAAGAATTTACCCTTAAAAGACAAACCTTCACCAACTGTTGATGGCTTTTGCTCCTTTCGTTCGTTCAAATCCTTGGAGTACAAGGCAAATTGGACATCTTCAAAGATCAACGACTCTCTTCCATACAAGAGAGTGTCTTTGAAGTGAGCATGAGACTTGGGTAAAGAGCACAACAACAACAAAGTTTGATCTTCATCATCAACCTTGACCTCGATATTTTCAAGATCAAGAATTAACTTGTTGAACATATCCAACTGCTCAGCCAAAGCACTGTCTTCAGTCATCTTGAATGAATACAAAACTTACTTCAGGTAGAGACAATTAACCAACGATTTCTTCATGTACAAACCTTCAAGTTTTGTCCGCACGCCAACTGCATTTTTCTTCTTTGAAACCTATCGGAGAACCTTATCACCAAAGCTCAATACAATGACACTGTGGACTTTTTCGACCATTGTTGTCTTCTTCATCTTCGTTAGGGCAGCGTCCATCTTTTATGATCCTTTGAACGCTTCTAACAAACCCTGTTGAACAAGAAGGACTTGCATCTTCAATCGCCACAAACCGAAATCATTCACACCAGTGAATTTTTCAATCTCATATTTTGTTGACGACATCTTCTCATCCACACTCACCGCACCAGTTTGTTGCGAATTGATCTCGTCAAGAACATACCAAAATATGATAAAAAAGATTTGAGTTTTTTGAATAAACACAAGCAACCTTATTAGGTTTTACAAAAGAGAGAGAAGAAGGAAGAAGAAGAAGAATAAGAATTTGTTAAATATGTTTTTCTATTCACTTTCTCAATAAGGGTTCAAAGATTATAAGTGAATACCAACAATTAACCTCTCTCAACAATCTAAGAGATTTAGTCTATTTATAGACTACTAAGCTAACTTATGATACAAGTTAATTTAATAACTGGATTTAGAAGCAAAACTCAATTCAACATGCTAACTTAAACACAAAGCTAACATATTTCGATAACATGTTTGAGCAGATTTGGACGACAGTATGCACAATTCATGTCGAACCATAAAACTACCCTTATCGACACTAGAGTTCGATCCAAATACTATATATATATATATATATATATATATATATATATATATATATATATATATATATATATATATATATATATATTTTTTTTTTTTTTTTTTTTGCATATATAGACAATAGTTTTTACATATATCAATTAAATATGTGCCAAATATAAACTCTTAGTTAAGAGTTCAATCCATGAACAACAACAATTTTTTTTATAATATTTTTTAAATAAAGAGTAAAAAATAGTAAGATTCGGTATTTTAAATCACCCTATAAAAGAACATGGTTAATAATTAAATAAAAGGTGATGCAAATTTATCTTAAAATATAAAATTTGAAAATATGGGCGTGCTAAGAAACATGAATAAATAACAAAATGAATTAAAAATAGAAAGTACAAGTTGCAAGTGGGGAAGGTAACAAAGAAAAGGTGTAGACATATGAGAGAGAGAAGAAAGAGATTGAAGACTAACCAAAACAAAGAGATTATGTAATCTAATGCAATGTTGAAGATTGTAGAGAAACAAGAGATTTGAAGAAACATCAACAAAAAAAAAGTTAGTATTTTTATTTTTTTGATGGCTTCTCTTTTACTGTATGTAATGTGAGTCATGTCACTGCCCATCACCTACCACTGATAATTCAATGCCTTCTTCTTCTTCTTAGCCCCACCACCATTCCCTTCTCCTCAGACTTTCATGTGCTTCTTGTGTGTTCTTCATTTCCCTCCAACTGCACACAATAAGGGCTAAATTTGGTACCTTTTTTAGTTGGGTTTCAGAAATTTAAGTTTTTGAGATTGGAAATAGAGACCCATTTCAGCATTTGGTGAAACCCAGGTAGCAAAATTTGATATTTTTGAGGTTTTTGAAGATGGGTTTGAGCTTGGGGTGTTTTAATGGGTTCTTGTCATTGAGGGTTTTGGGAGGAGTTGAGATCTAGTTTTGGGGGTTCTTTTGAAGGAGGTGGAAGGAATCTGTGGAAAGGTATTTGTTTGAAGCTTTTGTAGTTTGGTTTTTGTTTTTGTTGCATTGGTTGTTTTTGTAATTTGGGTCAATTTTTCTTTGGGTTGCTTGAATTTTGAAACTTTGCTTGGCTTGTATTTCATATGTTGAAATGAACAAAGTTTGAGTCTTTCTATGCATATTTGTTTCAATTGTTATATTTCGTAGTTGATCCATCTCATAGAGATTTGACGAAGTTTTACATTGGTTGTTGACTACTTAACACAACTCTCTCATTCTATCTGGGTTTAGGATTGGCTATGCATAGCAAAGCTATTATAGGCAGGATTGTTTCAGTTGTTATATGAAAACCAAATTTCTTAGCTTTTAAGCTTCTTGATTTTGTATTTTCCAATGACTTTGGTTGTTTGACCGACATTTCTTTTCATGAGTATCATTTATTTATCCTTGATTAGTTGGGATGTGAATTTATAACCAAAATGTAGTTTTTGTTCAAACCATTTCTCAAACCTCATGCTTGTGCTAAATCACAAAAGTAGTAATGTATACTTAGAAATTGTATTTCAATCTGATTTCTTACAAACATTTGCCTAATTGAAGAGTTTGGTGTCATAATTTGTAACTTGCTTTGTTGTATGCATCCAAGTGCCTTCTAATGTTTCAACATTAATTTTTGCAGATTTATTTGTTAACAGCGAAATGGCATCGGATCTAAATTCCGGGTTGTCAAAGAAAACGATTTTTGGATTGAAAGTATGGGTATTAATGGGAATAATTGTTGGATTGTTCATTATAGTCATTCTTGTGGTGCTATCGATATGTCTTACTTTAAGAAAAAAATCCAGAAGAGGCACTGGCAGCATGCTTCCTCTTGGCCATATTCTATCTATTTCAGAAGATATTAAAGAAATTAGCGTCGATCAAGTTTCGTCGAATAGTCATCCACGAAATGGTGGTTTTATGAGCTTGAATGATAAGCTTAGTGACGGAGATTCCGGAAAGGTTTTGATCCAAACAAAGAATGGAGATAATAGCAGTCAGTCAGGCTCGTTTAATTGTATAGAGAAAGATCTGAATGGCTCTCAGTCAGGTGAAGATAGCGGTGGTTTTAGGAGCGTTTCGGTTTATAGGTCTTCATCACATCCTATATCTGCGCCGTCACCGTGTTCTGGGCTTCCCGAATTCTCTCACCTTGGCTGGGGCCACTGGTTTACATTAAGGGATCTTGAACTTGCAACAAACAGGTTTTCGAAAGACAGTATTATCGGTGAAGGTGGTTATGGAATTGTCTATCGAGGTCAACTTATCAACGGGAATCCCGTGGCTGTTAAGAAGCTCCTCAATAATTTGTAAGTTTTTTCCTTAATAGTTTCATTGAAGTCTCTATTTTTATTAAATTATGAACCAAGTTTTATAATGGTGTGTTTTCATGTTAATCATGCAGAGGACAAGCTGAAAAGGAATTTAGGGTTGAAGTTGAGGCTATTGGTCATGTGCGGCATAAGAACTTGGTTCGGCTATTGGGTTTTTGCATTGAAGGCACTCACAGGTAGCAAATTGTTTAATGTTTGTGCTATGTATGCGATTAACTCTCTGCGTCTCTATTTCTCTATTTCTTGATTTGATCATTTGACTTGTACCTTGCACCATAAAAGCTTACAGTGTGGCAAATCAGTGCATCATTATCATTGCTATCATTTTAAAAATCTTTTAACTATTAAGTTAAGAGTTGTGGTTGAGCCTAATTCATTCCTACAAAACCCGTTTGTATCAGTGTAGCGCAGCGGAAGTGTGATGGGCTCATAACCCACGGGTCCTAGGATCGCAACCTGACTCTAATACCATGTTAAGAAAATGTGGTTGGGAGTGTGTTAAGAGTCCCACTTCAGACAATATATGACCTCAACACGTGCTTATGTGCTTATAAGTGGGGACAAGTATCACTCTACAACCCGTTTTTTTACGGATGAGTTAGACCAAACCACAACTCTTAACATTAACTGCTTGAAAAATCAAGTCTTGGCGTCTTTCTCGCATGAAATTTCTTGGCGAATAACATGGATTTATATCACAATTGCATCTGCTTACTAATATTTTAGAACTAGTTTATATTATTTGCATATTTCGTTCTTATTGAACTCACTATTAATTTCAGGTTATTGATTTACGAGTACGTTAACAATGGCAATTTAGAGCAGTGGCTTCACGGAGCCATGCGGCAGCATGGCTATCTTACTTGGGAAGCTCGGGTGAAAATTCTTCTCGGAACAGCCAAAGCGTATGCTCATTTCTTCTTGCGGAAAAAATAACTAACCTACTAGTTCTTCCAAGTTTATTTTGTTGATCAAGTTTACTTTTTAGCTATTGATTAATTTCATTGATTATTATATCTTGTAGGCTAGCTTACTTGCACGAGGCAATAGAGCCAAAAGTTGTACATCGAGATATTAAGTCGAGCAATATTCTAATTGATGATAACTTTAATGCTAAAATATCCGACTTTGGGCTTGCTAAATTACTCGGTGCCGGAAAAAGTCACATTACAACTAGAGTAATGGGTACTTTTGGGTAAGCTTCATGTTTCAAATTTAGAACTTGTTCTTTACTTTGCTCATTCTTTTCTGCATGCTTATGCTTCAATTTTTCAGATATGTAGCTCCAGAATACGCCAATTCTGGCTTGTTAAACGAGAAAAGCGATGTTTATAGCTTTGGTGTATTGCTTCTTGAAGCAATTACAGGACGTGACCCGGTCGATTATAGCCGACCAGCAACCGAGGTTTGTCACTGTTATTGCCGTTAATCATAAAATGGAACACATTGGTGCATATGACAAATTTATTTATTCATAAATCATAATCATCTTTCTTTTGCTACATTCTTGGTTGTTTCTTGAAGGTAAATTTGGTCGATTGGCTCAAGATGATGGTAGGGTGTAGGCGCTCAGAAGAAGTGGTGGACCCCAACATTGAGACCAGGCCATCGACGAGCGCTCTAAAACGATCCCTTTTAACGGCTTTGAGATGTGTTGATCCAGATTCTGAAAAAAGACCAAAGATGAGCCAAGTCGTTCGCATGCTTGAATCGGAGGAATATCCCATACCTCGGGAGGTTTGACATTTGATCCTTATAGTTTCCAATCTAGTCTTTACTTTATGAAATCACTTTATTTGAGGTTGCGTATTTGGAATGGGATTTTTACCAAATAATAGAGGCGACATTTCAGGATCGAAGACGGCGAAGGAATCAAGCAGGAAACATAGAGGCAGAGAGCCAGAGGGAGACTTCTGATACAGATAAAAGTGACACTCCAGATTCTAGACAAAATTTGAGAAGGAACTAACAAGTGAAGTTGCAAGTTTTGCATTCTTTTGAGATTCTGTAAGTTCCTTTGCCGCTGGCGACTTTTACATCGAGACACGGAGCCGGAGCCTGTAACTTTTGAATGGTTTATAATATATATACGTATTATCTGTTGTTATAACTTAGGTGTAGATGATAGTGTAGATTTTTGTGTATGAATTGGGTTGGAATGTGCTCCTTTGCACTAGTGGTGGTGTGTGTACAGTTTGATTATTACTATTCTTTCCTTTTGTATTTTCATTTGTTTCATTTCATCATTATGAAGGAACTGCTCTATGGAAGATCATAAAAAAATGTACTTCATTTTTGTTTTGAAGAATGTTTGTTTTTTTCATTCCATTTTGGAGGGTAATGGTTTTCTATTTTTGTTACAAATTTTAGAAGTTCTGACATGGCTTTCTGGATGTTTCTGAATCTGTCTCTATTATAGACTAGTGAAGGAGTTTCTTTTCTGTTTGTCAGAACTGTAAGGTTAAGTTCATGTAATAAGTTCTTTGGAGAGGAAGGGTGTAGAGGAGGTATGAACGGGAAACTCCATTGATCTTGACATTTGGAAAAATTGGGTGTCTAATTTATGTGCATATATTCAATGAATGAAGATCGATTCAAATTTGACCTAAATTACCGGTGTCTTCATTGGTTACATAAAAGTTGTGAAGGAGTTCAAGTTATGAGATCAAATTCAAGTAAGATGATTATCAACAGATATTGTCTTTGATAAGTAATTCATGTTGAAGCAACCAGTTGCAATCGATGTGTCAATTGGACCAAAATCATATATTGAAATTCATCATGGACCCGAAGATTCAAATGGAGTACAAGAATATTCTTTTGTACGCCAAAGAGTGCCAGTGCCACCAGAAAGATACGAGTATGGAGACTTGATAATTTATGCACTTTTTATTTGTTCTAGATATCCTTGAAGAAAAATCGAACATGAGTTTGAAGAAAAATCGAACATGAGAGTTTGTTCAACTTCTTAAGGGAAAAAGAAATATCAGTTGCAAGTTAGTGTCTAGGAGAAAATCAACAATAACAAAAAAAAAAAAATCAAGGCTCATTTGATAGCAAAATAGTACTTAATACAGAAAATGGTTAACTATATGATGAGATTTTCTCTTTGGTTGTTAGTCATACTTCTGACTTCTACCAGGACATTGATAACTTTGGTTTTCAGACAAGACATGCATTTAGAGCAGTTGAATGTGAACACAATACTTTTTTATGGTAGTTCAAGTGTACAGATAAAAACGAGTACTTTTGAAAAAATAATAAAGGGAAGCGACACTTGGATGTCATATCGTAAGAATTCTTGTATTATTCCAACCAATTAAAGAAAAAGTTTATGGGGGTTTTAAGTTTCGATTTATAAAACAAGAAAAAAATTGATTAAAATAAGAGATTATCAATTAAGCTAAAACGGTTAATCCTATTGATTTGGATTCCGACTTATCATCAACTATTATAACACCAATCCCTAAGCGACTTCAATCTTATTCGATTATGAGATCAATTAGACAAACGCTTATCAAAATCAAATGAATTATGTTTTTGTTTATCGAATTAAGCAAACGGTTAAGAATATGACAAATTAACAAATTAAGAGCATCTTTTGTGCAGGTTCTGTAGTATTAAATTCTTTAATAGTAACGGTAGTTATAAGCAATTTGCATTGGAATAAGAATGACATGACAGTAAGTGAACTAACAATTAGTGAGAGTAAACTATATAACCAACGCACACTATCCATTCTCAATGACTCTTATTATTATTTTATTATTGTTTTATATTATTAAAATATCAATAAAGCTCCAACAACTATAAAATGTATTGTCAAGTTTTGGTTTTTTACAAGCAACCATCATTAAAGTAAAAACAACTCAAATCAACTATAAATATTTTAAATCCTACAAATCACTTTGGACCCACAAAAAGTATCTTAGTTTACACATTTAGTTTACTCCCATTAAAGATGCTCTAAGCAAACGATAACACGCAATTAAATTTAGGAACATGCATACAATCAAATTTAATCAATTCTATCTTATGAACAACAATCAAATTAATCAAACAATTGCAATCAAATTAAGCAAATGACTTCATAGAAAAAAATTGAAAGGAATCGAAATTAAATTGATATTAGAATAACCTCAAAGCGATGGAACCCGTAAGTAGTAGGATTTGCCTTCGAGAATTAGTTCTCCATTCAAATCGTGCAAAAGAAAAGAAAAATCGTGAAAAGAAGGTAAATAATGAACAGTGCGTGACATCTAGGTATAAGAAAGCATCACAAATTTTAGTTCTAATTCAACTGGGTCGAAAAACATAAAAAAATCGGCTCAAAACTAAATATTTCTTAAGGCAGAATTCGGGTCCTGTCTTCGACGAATTATTCGAGTCTGCTACACTCTGAATCAGTTTCTGCCTACAACATGAAAGTTGTATCTCTTTGTTTTAGCCTTCCAACGCCTATTAGAACATGTTAATCCAATTCTCGTAACTCCAGTTATGATCCGAACAGTAGACAAATATCAAATAACCGCTAAAGCTGAAAATAAGCTGTGAAAATAGGTTAAAGGCAAACAAAGACTTAATTTTAAAAACATAATAAAACAGTAAAATAAACAAACAAACTAAGGAAATTTCTAAGTATAAACATAAAAGAATGTGAATTAAAATGCACTGATCAAATTCTCCCACACTTGAGCTTTTGCACTCCGAGCAAAATGATAACTTTAAAAATTCAAAACAAAATAAAATAGAGCATGCATTTCCAAAAGTATTCAAGATGCAAGGTACAAGTATATTTCTAAGTCTAAGCTTCAAGAATATGATGTTAGTGAGAAACTCTTTGTGACATTCAAAGCAAATAGGAAAAACAAATTACCAAAAAGTACATCAAAAACAACAAGATCCTCACAGGATAAAATTCACTCAACTCTCAAGTGTTTAGGTTAACTGTTTACACTCAAAGAACAACATGAAAGTCAATACTACCACAAGCTTGAAAATACTCTAACATCTGCAATTTAAAGAGATGCACACACAGATCAAAATGACTTTTATTCGGTTGTAACTTGGCCAAGGTACGAGTGAGATAAATCCTAAGAGGGTAGTAAGCTAACAATTAAAGAGTTAAAAGAAAATTGAAAGGATTGCGGGAGTTGAACTATAAGATACATCAATTGCTTTCAAACAACAACCTCACAACTTATTTCTCTTCTCTTTTTCCTTTTATTCTTTTTTTTTTCCGGAAGGATTATGTAATAAAATCCTTCTCTATTTTTTTTTTCATTTTTTTCCTGCCAACATTTGGAACATCACAACAACATCACCAAAAATGAAGTTCAAACTCCACACAACTCCATACAAGACTCTTTCAATCCTTGATTAGGGTGATAATTTTGTTTTTCACTTTTCGACTTGTAATGAGTTAATCACAAAAAAAGGATAAATAGGCTCAAAGGGATGATATTGATCAGGGTTGACTTTTTTTTTTGCTAAGTGGCTAAAATTTAAAAAAAAAACAAGTTGCCTTGATCATATAGTGTGCACAAGTTAACAAAAAGCATCAACAAGATTCAATTCAAGTTCTAGAGACTAACAAACATCAGTGAATCACACAAGAAAGAAAAAGATGGTTTTTTTGTATGTTATCCATATAAGGCTCAAAACTCACAAGGGTTAATAATTTACTACTAATGATGTACAATTCAGAGTTTAGTCTTACTTATCATACTAAGAATGCACAACAAGTTTTTTACATCACATCACAAAGCTCTATTCAAGAGAACTATGAACAAAACTCAACTTATAACTCAAAAATCAAAGAAAAGAAAACATGTTTTTTTTTAAATTTTATTTAAGAATAAAACCAAAGTAGAGAAAATTGAAAACAAAACAAAGAAAACAAAATAAAGCAATTGTTCCCTCCCCCACACTTAAAACCTGCATTGTCCTCAATAAAAGAACATAACTACTAAACAAGAGTGGGAGAAAGGAAAGAATGCACACGAGTACTCAAGATGGATAGGTAATCACATAAGCAGTCTTTCCCAAAGAGAGATCTTCTACGAGCTCCTCTTTCAAAGTGGGGATGTCATAAAGTAACTTTGGATAGTATCCATTGACCTTGAAATATTTAGTAATGCCTTCGCCTTTTATTCCAGGATCAAAGAAGAATTTTCGATAAGTAAAAGTGTCGAATGAATACGTGAACATGATATTCTTTTCCACAACATCAGAGATTAAAGGGTTAAGGGGCTATCTCACTGCTTTTCTTCCATCTTCAATTGAGGTCCATCTAATTTTTTTATTATGTTTCTTCAAAACCTGCAAAAGCTTATTTTCTTGATCGAAATCAAGGTTAGAAGAAATTACAATAAGTAGCTTTTCATTCCTCTATAAATAGACATATTTTAGATTGTCTGAAAGTGGTTTAAGCTCTAAGCAAGGAGGTTGTTCAATGGAAGGCATGGTCGGGGCAACCGAGATATCGAGAGCTTCAGCTGCATAAACAAAATCATGAAATGCATTACCCTGCAAGGCAGCATTAATCTCAACACAAACAGAGCAAATGTTAGTGTCGGTACATGAATCGTAAGAGTAAGTATCATCAAAATATGCTAATGATGGAAAACCAGACAACAATTCAGAATAAGTATCATCAACTAAATCAGAAAGCAACTCTTTTGGATTCACTACTGTTTGGGTAGGTAGTTGGTTTGATTCTTGAGCTTGCTCCATGACATTCATTGAAGTGGCAAGTTATTCAATCTGTGTCTGCAAAGCCTGAAAATTAGAATTTATTCGTTCCTGAGACTGAAAATTATTTACAGTCATTTGCTTGACAAGGTCCTCTGGTGAAGGTTCGAAAGGTGTAGAGCACACAATCTAGAATTCTTTCAGATGCTTATGTGGATCCTCACCTGCAAAACCATTAAACTCCGTCAACAAGTGTATTAAACCAGATTTGAATTG